AGTATCAATAAATTGTTTGAAATTTAGATAAGATAAGATAAGAATCATCGCGATAAAAATACACTTATTGTTAGTTCACAATTGTCATAAAATAATAAAATTACATTTCTTTATGAACCATCCATTATTTCATGTTTCTTATTTTATTAGTAATAATATATGTTTTCGATGTTCACGTGCAATTATATCGCATTATTATTCTTAATTACAGGGAAGATACAACTTTTTATTTACATAAATATAAACAATATAAAAACATGGATTTTGTCTTACCTTTTACGACGTGGCTCGTCTCCGTATCCGCCATATTCGTGATTCTGCAATTAGAAATAAACAGCATCGTTAATATCTTTCCTTTGCAGACGGTTAGTTCGTTAAATTCGTGCGGATTAAACGTTGTTAATGACTTTATCCGACTTGCATCATTTACTTTGCCATTCCCACAGACTTGCGTGCGGTCAGCAAGTTCTCTCGAAAACGAGAGCGAGAGAGTTTCATTCGAAACTACTCGTAAGTCGAAAGCACGGATTTCCCGAGCAGTGATTTCCCCTCGGTACTCGCTCTTGCGGCAACACGTGTTACCGGCTTCCGTCGTGGGAAAATTGCGTAAGACAAATTTCGCGCGGCGGCTTTGGCTGAATTTCGATGGTGGACGCGACGTCACCACGGATGCGTGCTCGGTCAGTCTATTAATATGTGTGCACACGCGTCTTTTTACCACGGCACCCAAAGCGACGGAAATAGTGCAGCGGGACACCTTAGAGGCTGTGACGTATGGCCGCTTAGGTAAATTCTTGAGACCCAATCGGGATCACATAATTAAGCGGCACAGGAGCAGAGCTTGCGCAATTCCAAATCTTCTTTGAGTTAGATGTTTAAAAGCATTTAATTCGCAGATTGTAATTTACAGCGAAACTACTTGCAAAAGAATATTTATAGAAATTTTATTTTATACACTTTTCTATGTTTTATCTTTTACACATTTCTCACACTTTAAGATTACGATTAAATTCTCGTAGGAAGCAGATAAGAAAATATCAAATTTAATCGAACGTTGGTATTCGATGCGGAAATATCGGTAAAAAGATTTGTAACAAAATTATATTATGTAGATGAGATTTATCTATTTTTCATCCCGTGCGACATGGCTTGCCATTGTGTTCTCAAATGTAATCCGCTCTGGGAAACCGAGCGCGAATGTCAATTCTCAAGCGTCTAGTCGCTTCATATCGCTTCATATCGTAATGTGCAACGGTGCTAGTGAATAAAACATGAAGCGTATTTGTACGTCAGGATGACGTGTCGCGGCTAAATAATTCATTCACATTTTCCGCAATCGCGGAACGACAAATCGAATCCGAATAATCACGCAGATCTAATTATCAGCACAAAAATGTGTCCGATCACTCTGTAAATTTGATTTATATACCGCGCTAAATTGACGATACAAGCCGAAAAGATAATTCACGAAGTAAATTAAATTATTGTGTGCGATTATACATATATATATATTGATGAATAGAAATTCTGAACAACGTTGTGTACGTGTATATATAAAGTTGCGAATTTACGCTGGTCCACATCACTATATAATACATGTATATCGACTACATGTAAGAAAATATTTGAATAAATACTTTAGACTTTTACATAGAACAAATTAATTCAATATTCTCTCTCTCTCTCTCTCTCTCTCTCTCTCATCAAAAAATTTGTAGATGGAGAAAGATACAATTTTCTATTGAATGGATTTTTTAAAATTATTGATATTATTTTCCAATATATGTATAGAGTATATTATATAATAATAGTACTAGTCCAAAGTACACCACACAAGAAGAATAAAAAATGAACGAAGAAAACGCGTGACAAATGTGTATGACCCTGCGTATGTACGTCGCTAATGATCCGAAATTAGCCTGAATGGCAAAGGTAACAAAGGCGCAGGCATTTGGTTTTGCGCACAAGCCGAGACGTTCAAAGCATATCATCCTAGTAGAGTGTCTCCTCGTTGAATAATCAAGACATAATGTATATTGGATGGGGTCAACGAGCATTATTCTTTCTGTTGAGACTGTAGAAGTGTTGAACATACATATTTACTATTATTCGAAGAAATTTAATATTGTCACATACACGGATATAAAGTACCTTCCATTGACAAACAAAATGAAATTTATACGAATAAGAAGTTGATAGAATTTCTATCGCCAATCGAAGAATTTTTTAAATTTTTTCCTCCCAGATTTCGTTGCATGTTATTATCGTCAGCATTTTTGTCATTGCTATTATATTCATTAACGTGTATTATCCGATTAATATTAATGGATCTTAAAATTTTTGCACGGACGTTTCTCTGCGAATAATAAATACAACGGGTTTAATAAATATCTATTCTTCTTATTGCTGAATAGCAATTAGGAATGTCGAATATAAATAAAATCATGAGACATCGATAAAATCCGACATCAATAAAATATGTTATCTCTGTCTAGTAAATGATAAAACTATCATTAATCAAAAAATTGTATCAAAAGAAAGAATATTTTGGAGATGAAACAAATAGAATTTTCGTCGCTGTTTTCTGATTTTTTTTTCAACCTATTTTCAGTAAACTTTGTAATACACGAGAAGGAAAGCATTTAGCCAGAACGATACACAGCCACTGTTACGCGGACTTACCAGCGAGAAATTCGAGTGCCGTGTCCTAATGATTTATTGTCGGCGATCGCTCGTTAATTCTTCGTCGCCGCAGCGTCGCGTCCATGACTTGCGAAATGCGGCTGAATGGCCGCCGAAAAAAAAAAAAAAAAAAAAAATACAATGTGAGAGAGCGGTAAAGAATCCGCTCTCGGCGAACAGCCAAAGCAGAGTGTTCCGAGAGGAGGGAGATTTGCGGAATATCCGACGCGTCGCGTCCAAGAGATCTCCGTCGTCACGTATATATTATAACTCACGCATAGTATCGCCGTTACGAGGCGGAATACCGCGCGGATCCGTCATACGTTCTTATAAACATAACTGTGCACTGGCGCGCGACCAACCACGTGCTTTCGGGCTCAATGGGTACTCAACCCGCGCTTTGGTCGTCTGAAAAAAAGAAAAAAAAAAAAATCGCTAGACGGCTCGCGCGAGACCATCATCTATGTGGAGATTTCTCGAGGAGACAGACGATGACAAGACGCTTTTACAAAATACTTGTATTTATTTAACATGCTTTGATATTTTGTATATATGTACAATATATCCGAGACACATGTGACGGTTAGTTATACATAATATTGAATTAATAACATAGTATTTTATTTTATTTTACGTTCTAATTTTTTAATCTAAATAAGAAAGATATGTATATTAGAAGAAACAATCATTTAACAAAATTGACTTCTCACAAAGATACTAGAAATTTAGAATAAAAAAATTAACATAAAATTTTCTTTGATTGACCCAGCAATATATCAACAGTTATCGCGAATGATAATCGAAGCAATGTAGCTGCGTTTTGATATATTTACGTTTGTTGAGACGCGATCTCATTATTTTAACAATTAGTAAATGATATCTAGATCCTGAGAACCTTTGAAAAATACCATATATATTCTCGATACAAAATCATTTCCACTAGCTCGTGTTTGTCTGTCATACGAATCTGCCTATCGAGTTGACCGTTTGTTAAAAGAGGAGACAGGCGAGCCATTAAGCCAATTTTCCTTGCGTTCTACGCATGTCACAATAAAAGATGATAAGATTTAAAACAATCGTCTGCTTACTTATCGCTTCAATTCCCAGAACGTCCTCCATTTTGTCATGAGACACCTTGTAAATTCTTTAGAAAATAATTAAAAGGAATATATTTTGTTTTATTTTTAGACAAAAATCACTTATTCAAGAAAAGTTTTGATTTATTATAAATAAACTAGATAGATTAAAAACAGAGTTAAATAAATTTATGTAATATAAATAAGTACAAGATTATTTGTATTAAATTTTCTTTTCGTTTTAAATAATTTTTTATAGATACCATGTTAATCATTTAATTATTATTTTATCTAAATAAAATTTTTTATATTTTTCCTACATATAAAAACACGTTCTTTTCTCGCAAATAATATTCTTATTTGCATGCAAGAAGAATATCGCTATTCTTTTCCATATAGATAGAACCGCGTCTGCATGAGAAATAACTTTTAACTTTTTTAAATTCCAAGACGAAGCCGAATAAATCCTCTTAAACACAATCACCATTTTCACGAGGATATCGATTATGCATGGACGCAAAAAGTCGCATAAGCTACCGTTTTTTGCGTCACGTCACCGCTAAGTCCCGAAAACTATCCAGAACGAGGGAAATAAAAACGCTAACGCTCCATTAAAAATTGTAAACGATTAACGCAAAAAGATCTATAAGAGATACTTACAAGCAGTTACTTAAAGGTCAAATATGCGCAATTATCCGCGCGGAATTCCGCCGACAAACTTGTTCTGAACATGCGGGAACGCAAAGAGATCGTTTCAAAAGCGTTGTTCCTGTTTGTAATCTCTTTATCAGCACGTGGTTGGCACGCAGCCAATCGACTTTCTCCCCGGCCGTAGAACAGCGACCCGTACACGTCGTCTCCTGTGGTTCGCTTCGATTTGTTCTAACCGCCGTTAAATCGGTTAGAGCATTGACCGGGAAGAGAATAGATGCTTAACGCACTTGTAACGTACGTGCATATGTGTACGTCAGAGACAAGTATCGCGTAAACGCACAAAAAGTTCAATTTACGACATAGCAAGTGGTAGCTCGCAAAGATACGCCGTCGCTTTTCAACGAGTAGAACCTGTGTGTCCGTATCATTTCCATTAACATAAACAGAGTTAACTGACGTTTGTGGTTAATTTTATGCCTTTTGTCTTTGTCCCGCTTGCCAATAACTGATAAAAAATGGCGCAAATATAGTGCTATCATTGAAAAAACTGTAATTGTTTGAATTTTTTGATATATCTTGACTTTTTTTAAAAGAGCATCGAGACTATAACTTTATTAATTAATGTTTTTTATAGATATGAAAAGTTACATATACGAGAAAAACATATTTTCTTTCCCCTTTATCAAAAAATTCACGCGGTCACGCGTTTGTTTTTATAGGGTTGTTAACATTTAATTTAATTCAGTTCCGCATACTCGAAAGAGCGATGTTAACTTTCCGGAATGAAATTTGCCAAGAAACCTTAAGCAAAGTTTACACTCTGCGGTTCTGCGCTCGCTCCCACGGGCGTTATCGAGATTCCGATAAGTGAGCTTTTAAAGAGTTTCACACCTTGCAACGGTGGT